CGTGCTGGTGAAGCGCGGTTGCCTCGAGGCCACCCTACCGAGTCAGAGGATCGGGTAGGCCGCTCGCGGACTCAGTCCGCGAGCCGCTGGGGGCACGTATAATGATCAGGGCTGTCTCGAGGCCTCGACTCACTGATGGCTCACCGATGAATCACCGAGATTACATGTAAGTCGGCTCAGGGTCGTGCCTCGAGGCGACTAGCAATTCCTGGACTCAAAGAAGGCCGCTCGCGGACTCAGTCCGCGAGGTGCTAGCGGCGTGCTGGTGAAGCGCGGTTGCCTCGAGGCCACCCTACCGAGTTACAGGATCGGTAGGCCGCTCGCGGACAGAGTCCGCGAGTCCCAGTAAATGCGATAATGATATTAAAGACAGCAATGATGATCAGCCTCCACAGCACTCTAGCTTGAGTACTACTGCTCTACAACCAAACCTCTCAGCCGCTCCTGTATTATCGACATGGGTCTCAAGACTATCGCTGCGATCCTCCTCACCCTCCAGTACGAGTGCCAGAAGGCAGGCTCCGACGACCCCTGGGGAAACCCGCTGTGGCAGATGCTCACGGGGATCCCTGGCATCCCGTGGGAGGTGCCCGACAACGCCACCGCGAACTTGACCGCCCCCGCTCCCAATGTAGGCGAGTGGACCGTGCAGCAGGCACTGCAGGTGCGCGCGTTCGTCAACAACGCCTTTGCACACGGTAGTGCGGAGGCACTGCAGGCGTACTGTGCGCAGAGACGCCCGGACAACGACTCGGCCGGGCGGAAGCTGCTTCGAGAGTGGGCAACAGCTCGCTACCGCATTCAATGGGGGATGAATCGTCGCATCGACAAAGTGATGGCCACCCACGGTATGACTCCCCCCGAGTGCATGGGGAACCCCGGCGAGGTACGTCTGCCATTGACTGCGGTGTATGACTGTGCTCATAATCCACGAAGATCATGGGGGAGTTTGGCCACAGTAGCCAGATTCCCCGCGACGTCTATGTGTCCATCGCGGTGGAGTGCTTCGGCGACGACGTGCTTCTTGAGGACGGAAGGCGGCTGAAGCCGCGCTACAATACATTTGTCCACAGCCTGCTCAACCATACCTGGAGCAGGTACACTAGACTGTTAAAAGTTGATTATCGACGGCTTAACGAGACGGAGGGTGAGCTTCTGAAGGCGTGGGGCAGTGCGTATGGTCCACTAGACAATGTGCTCCTATACTAATGGTACGTGTAGATTTCTCGAAGGAGGGCGCGGAGTACACGCGCAAGGAGCTACGCGACTTCGTTGGCAAGCTCCGTCGCCATGTCCTCCGACTGAAGGAGTATCACCAGTACGACCCGGCAATGAACTCCAGGCTGGAGGTGTGGACGTCGCGTCTGTCGGATATGCTGCGCCTTCTGGAGAAGGACGGCCCTGTCACTGCCTGTAAGTACCCGATTAATGCGGGTAAGACGACTTAGCTGATTTCTCATCTTGAAGCGGACCTCCCGAAGGTCATCCAGGACGCCCTCATGAACCTCGCATCTCTGGAGGAGATACGCGACCTCCAGGCGCACCTCATAGCTGCGCTGGAGAATGCAGGGGTTATGCTTGATGGCGGTGAGGAGCCACTGGATTTTGATCTGGACTCCCAGGCGTTCGACTGGAAGGCATGGAAGGAAGGGACGGAGGACCTCGCAAAGGTGAGTGAGGAGGAGCTATGGGCTCACCTCGGGTTCGGGGAGAAGAAGCAGCTGCCGCTCTTTCAAGAGTGGTATGATCCGTCGGGGATGATTGAGCCGTGGTCGGAGGAGGGTGTGGCCTGGCTCGAGAATCCCCAGTCGGGGCGTGCGCGGCTGCAGCCGAAGTGGCACCAGCTGGTGGGCATCTTCAGGATGCTCCAGCATCTCTTTGAAGGCCGCGCGGTGCTGCTGATGGACGGTGTAGGGCTGGGGAAGACTTTGCAGTCTGTCGGAGTGCTGGCGTGCCTGGTATACTACCGGGAGCATTATCGGCAGAAGAATGATTATCCTGGGTGGT